CCCTCGCGCCGCAGGGCCCTCCCCGGGACACGGTGTCCAGAAAAATCCCCTGCTCCTTTCTGATGCTACGGAATAGGAGCTGCAGAACAAAGCACAATCTGTGGCAGAACTGAGGTTTCTACAACCTTGTGCTTTTCTGACAAAGCTTCATTTTGTTTCAGCATGAAATTGCATCCCTAATTAGTATTAGTGTAAGCTGGGGCACGCACGCACACGTTGCCTCTCTGTTAGAGGGCTTCCATTTGGAGTTGATGCAATCCTCACACTGTTCAGCTGCAGAGAAGCCGAAACAGAGTTTGTCCTTTTCTTTTTTTTTTTTTTCTTCGTGTTTCTTTTAATTTTTTTTTCCAGTGACTACATGGATTAGTTTTTTCTAATCTACCTGCTTCACTTCTAAAGTACTATGAAGTTTTCATGCTTTTATGGATAGAGGTGTCTTAGAAATGCTGAAACTAGTTTTATGTAAAACTAAAATACTAAAATATGTGACTATTTCTGAAAACTGAATCCTGGGGAATACTTGGGTAGAAGTTTAGCTCTGCAGAAAGTTTCTCATTCACATTTAAAGTAAGCCGAGTATTTGCACACTGTAATAGCATGCTATTACAATTTGGAAAGGCAGCATCGTAGCAGAAATTCCTTTTGAAATGTTAAAGGCAGCTAGTTGCCAAGTGCTTCTCAAGATGAAGGTTTAGATTTGTTACTTTACACATGCAAGTCTCACGCTATTGAATTTAAAATGAGTTGCTGCTGACTTGGCAGGATCAAATGTGTGACTGGATCACTCAGAATTAAATTTCCTGTTCCACATTTTAGCTTTCCTCTTTGGTGATTGGGCTTAGAGAGAGGAAGGTCTTGCTGGAAAAAGCCGGCTCAAGGCGACGCGTGTGGGTGGTTTTGGCCCCTGCAGCTGCAGCCTCTTCGTGGCCGTTCCCTTTGCAAAGGGGCTGGTGGGTTGAGGGAGGCTGCTGTGCTCTCCCGTGAACGGAAACCCGGGAGACCTGTGGTTAAATGTTTTCCCTGGAGTGTTCGCTCTTGTTTAATACTTGAGCGGAGCCTTTTCTTGTTCAATACTTACAGTGAACCAGATATTAGAAGCTCTCTTGTTCATTGTACAAGTACAAAATTCTTTATTTCTCAACATTTTTTCATAGCTTTCTTTCTACATGGAACTAAGTGAAAATCATATATATTTTTTGAAATACAGCAACATTAGAAAATGTGTCTTCTGTTTAGCAAAAGATTTATGGTTGTGTTTTTCAAACTCATAATTGCTGAGAATGCTAGCGTGCTCTGAGGAGAGCTCTTCAGCAGCTGGGACACAGAGCAGTGTGACACGGAGCGGGGCGTCACCTGCGGGTGTGTGACCCGACGAGGTGTCTGAAGGAGGACGTGCCAACTTGCTGAGCTCCTGGTGACTGGGCAAGAGGGGAGTGTGGCCCTGCACGGGCAGCGATCACCCCATGGCAGATCGTGTGCGCTTTGGGCAAAGGCTGTTCTCTTTCTCTCTGTCTCTTAATTGCTTAGCGAGCAGTGCCTGGGTGGGGAAAAAATATGGTGAGTGAGTGGAAGAGGCTTTTTATTTAAACTCTTGCTAGTTTTATTCTCTAACTTTGACGTTTACTATTTTTTGCTGTTTACAATCATCTCTGTATTCAGTAAAATCAAGTCTGGGAAGATCTCTTATTCTAGGACTCTTGTCTCAGATGAAACTGCTAACTCACTTCCTGCATGAAAACTCAGTGTTCTGCTTTATTAATATGAAAGTGTAGAATTTGATTTTTTCTTTTCAAAGTTTATTGTGAGTTCTGTGGAGAAATTTTGAAAAAGTTCCAATCTAGGATAGAGAGTCCAGCGCAGGGCCA